GCTTCAGGCAATGAATCACACTTTCACAGCCATTCTGCAGCTGTCTCCCTGGTCACTAGTGGATAGGTTTATACACAAGGGTATGGGGAGGAGTGTGTGAGGAGAGACAGATTCGATGTCCAAGAATCGGAGAGAACATGAGAACTCCATTAATCCCAATAGATTCAGGATCGGCTGCATACTGACCCAAACACACCTCCTGACTAGATAAGATTGTGCAAAACCACGATGGTTGTTTACTTTGTCAGACTAGTGTCAAAGGGTAGGGAGGAATACCCTTTCTTGCTGAGAAAGCGCTTTGCTGGGGGTGTGGGAGGGAGATGGCCATAAACACCACCTCTGCTGTGCCAACCCAGCTGGGGAAGCCCTTACAGGCAGAGTTCACCGTGATCTCTGTACACCTGTCATTCAGAGATTGCCTGCGCAATGATACCTCCCAAATGAGTCTGCTGGGGTTAATTACTCATTCCCAAACCGATTGGCAATACTGTCGTGGGTGCCATGTGCTGCCTGCCTCCAAACAGCTACAGCAGCTCTCTCCTAGAAGCCTACCAGCACTAGGAGGCCATCTTCTGTGCCAGGTAAGGTATGAGCCACGCACACGTCTTTATGAGTGTCATCTTCCCCATCCTGAAGTTCTCCCTATTCTAACTAACAGTAATTTACAGCAGAATCCTGCCACAGATCATCGCTGTTATCACAAGCTGCAGCACTGTGCTGAACACGTAGTCATTTGCTTCCATCTGCAGTGAGGATTTTTTGGTAGGTGCCAAGTTTGACATGCTGTTACCTCTCTGCTCTTACCTCCCCTGTGGTGAACAGGGGAGCCTGCCCTTGGCATAGTTGGTCTTGATACAGTTGGGTCACCGTTTGTACGACCCCCCCCCCCCCAGTAGAGCTTCTTGCTCTGCAGCTTCTTGGGAGAGAACTGAATATGTTGTGTTGGTCTCGGGTGCCAAAATGCAAATGATGCTTGGCAGTGGTGTGGTACTTTTCTCAAGGCTGTTTCCAGGGTCTGTTAGCCATCCACAAATAAACACACAATGCAACAGAGCAAATTCTGCAATGTAAAGGGCAGATGAATGGAGCACTGGATGCAATGCATTCAAGGGTAGAGGATAGCATGCCAAAAGACACTACTGTTCATTTTTGTCCACATGTAACCTTGTGCTTGTGTTACTACTGACCAAAATCTGTACTGCTGTTTGATCCAGCAGGCACAGACCTGTTATTTGTGATCACAGAACCACAATGTAAATACATAGGTGCAGAATTACCTCATTCAAAACCAATTTGTTGTATGTACTTTGCAAAAAGTATTTTTAAAAAAAGAACAATAGAAAAAACATACACGTGAAGCAGCATAAGCTTAAATAAGTCACTGCTGTTCCATTGTTTGGTTGGTTTCTCCCTGTTCCTTAAACTTACCCTAATTGTTATCTGTCTGGCCATTCCTTGGCCATTTGGTTCCTCTAGACAACATCATTCAACTGTGCTGTTTACATAATAAGATGCAAAATAACACCTCAGAGCAATTACTCCAAGTTTGGATTCAGAGGGACAGGAGAGGTTCAGAGAGCTCAGTAAAAAGTATCACTGAGCTTGAGATGAGCACTTATGTGGCACAGTGGATCAGGAGGGAGCTGGCACAGTACCTGGCTTCAAGGGCAGGCTTTCAGCTTGGGCACAACGCTCAACAGCAGCAATTAGCTAAGCATTAGTATAGTGAAATTTAAGTCAGATGTCTAATACGCTGCTTAAAGTCTTTGAGGAGAAAAATGTCACTTCAGATGAAAAGTTAAATGTGACACTGATAATGCTATAATTCTATCTTCCTGATTTATTTTTCACACTTACTAAACAAAAGGTTATTGACTTGGTTATATTACATATTTCCTGAAGCAATGGCTCGTTTAAATTAGTTATGGTGAGAGAAGTGTCATGCAGCGAAGAAAACATTTACTTTCGTTAGCTAGCATTATGCAATATGAGAATCACATTCCAGAATTGAACCACAGATACGTTGCTGCCAAGCTGTATGAACTTTAAACAGCAACATTAAGGAAGGACTGCAAATGAATTGTTTCTTCCTAATACTGGATTGAGATCAAAGGGTACATTTTCACAGTATATTAACAAATAATTGCTGCAATTACAAAGTGTACCAAAAAGCTACATGAGAAGAAACGATCAGGTAGTAAGAGGCAACAGAGATGGCATCTGTGCTTTTTAAGGAAAGTCTCTCTTTAGGTCCGTGTCTTGTAGTGACAAAGCAAACTTGGGTTTGCATCCCTCAAGCTCTGTTATAGGAAGATATATGTGGTTGGCTTTATGAAGGATATTTAAGAACAAAGGAATTCTGGCACAGCTTTCTCCCTAATGAGTTATCTAGGCCTGTTTCCCAGCTGTCGGAAACTCCAGCTAGCTACAATAGAGGTGAAAGGTAGCGTAAAGGCTGGTAGGTATTACTGGGGGAGATGAGGCATGAAATAACCAGTCCCCAAAGTCAATAAAAGACTGGGGCCTGAATGAGAAGAAATTTTGTGGCTTTGAATCCATTATACATTTGTGAGTGCAAACTGCTTCCGGTTGCCACAGGCTTCCATGTGTCCACACACTTTTAAGTCAGAAAAAACAAGCCAAGCCAGTTGCCAGAATAAAGTCACCTCCCAGAGTAACACCAGCCCTTTACATTTGCTAACATAAACCAGCCTGCAAAAGCATAAAAATGAATGAACTCCAGTAACTGATGGCAGCAGCCATAATTTTTAAGCTGCTAATCAGCGTGCCCTGTGTCTCCTGCCAGCACAACTTTTCACATTGAGGGTGCATAGCATAAACAAAAAAGGAGCCAAGGATAGACACACATAACAGAGTCATGCTATTAGCTGAAAATCAACATTGTCCTGGTGGCCCTTTCTAGGGTAAACTTGTCACTACAAGGACAACAGCCAACAGCATTAACTCTTGAACAAGGAATACGTGAATGCCTAACTACCCCAATATTTTCATGGAGAAAGGCTGGTTAGGGTCAGAATTTCAGAGTGGATGGACAGTCATTACAACAGACTCTAACACTTCTTGTTTCAGGTTCCTCATGGTGCTCTACTTCACTCCTCTCTACACTGCAGGACTTCTAAGGCATTCTAAGGATAGGTTTGATACTCAAATCATAGAATCATTTGGGTTGGAAAAGACCTTCAAGATCATCAAGTCCAACCATTAACCTAGTGCTGCCAAGACCACCACTAAACCATGTCCCTAAGCACCACATCTACACGTCTTTTAAATATCCAGGGATGGTGACTCAACCACTTCCCTGGGCAGCCTGTTCCAATGCTTGACAACCCTTTCGGTGAAGAAATTTTTACTAGTATCCAAACTAAAACTTCTCTGTCACAACTTGAGGCCATTTTCACTTGTCCTATTGCTTGTTACTTGGGAGAAGAGACCAACACCCACGTGGCTACAACCTCCTTTCAGGGAGTTGTAGAGTGCGATAAGGTCTCCCCTCAGCCTCCTTTTCTCCAGGCTAAACAACTCCCGTTCCCTCAGCTGCTCCTCATAAGACTTGTGCTCTAGACCCTTCACCAGCTTCATTGCTCTTCTTTGGACACACTCCAGCCCCTCAATGTCTTTCTCGTAGTGAGGGGCCCAAAACTGAACACAGTACTCAAGGTGCAGCCTCACCAGTGCCAAGTACAGGCGGACAATCACTTCCCTGGTCGTGCTGGCCACACTGTTTCCAAAACAGGATAATCTGACACAAGAGACCATCCCTATAATCCACTGTTCACCAAAAGTTGTGTTTCTTTTAAAAACCAGCTCCAGGGGAGAAGAGATCTGCTACAGTGGTACTCTAGGGGACTCAGTCTTTTGGCTGGTCAAATTACACAATCCCAGAACTGTTGAGGCTGTAGAAGACCTCTTGAGATCATCTAGTCCAACCGCACCCCTACTCAAGCAGGGTTAGAGCTGGTTGCCCAGGACTGTATCCAATCAGGTTTTGAGTATCTCCATAGATGGAGACCCCACAACCTCTTTATGCCAGTGTTTGACCACCCTCACAATAAAAAAGTGTTTTCTTGTGTTCAGATTGAACTTCATGGGGGTCAATGGTTGGCTCTTGAAAGCTGGAGGTTATATTCTAAAATGAAGAAAGGGGATGGAGTATCTGCACTAGCTTTAATCTAATTAACAAAGCTCCCAGTCCCAGTGGTAATAGGCTGGAAAAGGTTAATGAATCCTCCAGGGACAGAGGCACACTGTCTGCTTCACTGCTGTTGTTACTTGTGCTGAATAGCTAGCTCACTTCTGCCACAGTTACTACTTCAACTTTAAAACAGAAACCACAAAGTGAGCTAGAGCTAAACATAGAGGTGAAGCCATTGTTCCCTCTTGAAGATACTTAATGGCAGAAGCATGGCACAGCAGGTCACCCACCTTGTGGTTCTGTGAGGAAGGTCATCCCAAGGGTCATAACACCCATAAAAATTTATCTTCAGAATCACTAGCATGATTTGATATTTGGACACAGATTTTAGAGTCTTGGTCCCATCCATTCTCATTTCCAGAACATTATATACTTATAACAGAAGCAGCAACTGTCCAATTTCAAAGGAAAAAAAAATAATCCCACAGAGGCAAGTGAATACAAAGGGACTAACTCTGTCTCAGAAGGTCCCTGGACTGCAAATTGTTGAAGGTGGATGCAGTATTCTGGGAGACTATTGTCCAGATCTTACTTTTTTTAAGCCTCTGTTTTGGCCAAATATAAGGGATAGGTAGTTTGGCTAATCCAGAGTCAACATTTCTTCCCTCGTCTTAGGTGGCTGTCACCTCTTTATATTGTTGATGCATAGCATGGATGCTTTTTGTTCAAGAGAAGAAATCAAACTGTCTTTTTCTAGTGCACTCTACTGGAGTGGCCCTGTTCATGTCTCATTTGTCTCTAACAGGTCTTTGAATTACATAGAGTAATTTGTGTGCATGTTTCTGTATGCGTTGTACATACATACATAGAGTCTCTTCCAATTCTGTCATTCTTCCATTTGTTGTTCTAATCTGTTTGCCTACTGACTTTGGTTTCATGACTCATTCTACAAGAATCTCACTTGACTTGTGGTGGCAGAAGAAAACTCCTCTGAAGTAAATCAAGTGTATGAACTTCATATGTAAAGGTGTCAGGTGTTCACTGCTGAAGACTGTCCACTCAACCAGCTGTACATTATAGCAGTTTTCCCTGACATTAACTTTTGTTTTCCCTCTCTTCTCAGACACTATAACCAATACACAGACCGCAGGAACAAGCATATATTTGTTAGACAGTTAGCAACGGAGTTTGGATCTTCAGATCAAAAGCAAAATGCTCACAATGATCATGTGTTTGGCAGATAATAGGAAGAAAGGCTGAAAACTCTGTTTTCCCTTATCTGCTTCATCTTCTAGTTAGATTCTTAGTAATTTCAACATGTCTCCTTCTAGGAGCACACCTTGTCTATATCTCTTTCCTTACCCTAGAATTTGGCCTACATGCTAAATTGGTTTTTTTCTTACTTTTAATTTTCAGACACTTGAGGTGGCACTGAGATCATGAGCAACAATAGCTGAGGATTTCAAGTCATCTGAAACATAAGCAACTTGCAGACATTCTTTGTAGGGTCTGCATTGAAAAATGGCAATTAAAAAATACTTGTTTTCACTTCCATTGAACTCTGAATGTCTACAATCCAGACATCTGTATCTAAGTTCCTCATTATAGGCTCTCTTCGTACTTGGTGAATAGAAATGGGTGCTTCTGAGAGCGCAATACATCTGATATCTTCCTTACAGCAAGATAACTCACACCCTAAATGTGCATATTTCTTTCTCCTGACTGTAAAGAGTCTACTAATGGCTAATGATTGCCACTCCATGTGCTTCTGCATTGTGTAGTAATCAGATCTCTCCATCATCAGCTGTTTTATATGTGTCTTACACTGTAAGTCAATTGCAAGACTGATCCATCCCTGGAGGTTTTGATCCTATATACAAGTAACATTTAAATACACCTCCACACATAGGTCCGAGTTCATTCTCAGACCTATGTAGTTTGTCTTAATGATTGCATATACATATAAATATATTTTAAAAAGCCTAAACTTACCATGACCTGGTGAGAAAACATCATCCACAGAGTTTAGACATAACACTGGAATTCCTACTGACTTCAGCTTGCGACATGGGCTAGCATCTTCATAGTAATCATCAATTGTACGGTAGCCAAACATGACTGAAGTGAACTGCTTATCAAATTCTCTAACAGTTCTAGCCTGAAGTACAGAATTCAAATAGGGAACTATGTCAGCATTTGGAAAACAGCATCCAGCTAAAGCAGAAGTAACATTTTCACATACCTTCATCACGAGGTCCATATCAAATAATTTCTCCAACATTTGTCGATGCCTAAAAAAAAAAAAAAAGAAAAATTGGAGGGCTTGTTTTTCATTATATAAACAGAAGTCCTCTGCTTTATAGATACATAACTCCCTAATAAGAACATGCTTGGGTTTAATTTTCTGTCATATTAAAAGTCTGTCTGGAATCCAAGAGCAGAAGAATTGTTCATTCATATGCAGGCACATCCAGCAACACAGTAAAAATTGGCATAAGCCATGAGAAAGATGCCAAAGGTAAGAGAATTTAAGAGAATTAAATATTTGGAAATACAAAATACACCCTAATTTTGCAAAGCAAAGGATGAACTAGTCCCTTCCATGCTTTTGTAGTGAAGGCTGACTTAAAAGAATTAGTATAAATACTCTAAGTCAATATGTGCATGTATAAAAATTTAAAAATACATTCACTTCATCCATAAATACAGAAGTACATTGGTCTTGTGCCGAGTCCCTTGAGGAGCAGCGAAATTTACTGACATTGATGACAATCTTTCTTGAAAAGATCCTTTTGATTTCAAAATTTACAGAAGAACACACATAGAACAGCTATGTGAAGTGTTGTTACAGCATTAATTTTGCCAATATTATTATACCTGCTGTAGATCTCATGCTAACATCCTTCCACCTTGCTAAATAGTTTAGAAGGCAACTCACCTGCTGATAGAGGATTGTAGACAAGTAGTCAAGTAATAGTTGAAAAGAAGCCAGTTTAGTGGCTTCTCCAGAGATTCTACAGATTCAAAAACATTCCAACCCGCAGAGAAAATTGCAGCTGCCATTAAAGGAGTGTCTCTGCCAGTTTTGCCCAGGTAATTTAAAAGAAGCATGCTACAAACAGAAATGAAAAACAGAAACATATATACTATCAAATTGTTTGCTTCAATTTAAAGCAAATATAACAATCAGCTACCTTTTTGTCTGTTTTTCAATAATTTCTTGTATCAGCCCTACAGTTGTGCCTAATACTTCTAAAAGGTAATCAATGTAATCAACATATGACTCATGAAGTTTGCTTTCTCACTCTACTGTCAGAGAGGAACTGAGTGCACTGTGTAGGATGTAGGTAGGAGTGCATTTAGAAATAAATAGAGATGTACTACTCTTATTTATATCACTAGAAGGGAAGAAAAGGTCAAATAAATGTATCTTACTCATGGAACAGGTATTCCCAAGTTGTTAGTAAGTTTTACAGTTTTACAAGCTCTTAATCTTCCTCATCTGAGAAATCTGATCAGTGTGCCTGACAATTGCACACTGCCCTTGGCACACCTGCCTTGCTATGAAGCTGTCTTTTGAGTTGAAGGTAATGCCTTTACTCCATCTCACACATATGAGACAACACAGCTATTCTTTAAAACAAAGAGGTAAAGAATGAAGTGTTGGATAATGAATAAAACTAGCAAAACAAAATTATGAGTGAAATAAATGGCTGAAGTCTTGCCTTTCTGACCAATTGCAACTTACAGTCTCAACTGCTGATGTATAGTTGAGTTGAAAAAAGGGGAGAGTTCACCAGTACCTGACCCTTCAAAGGTAGAAAAATGAAAATAGCAGGAAGAGAGTAAAAGCAAAATATTAACAGAAAAGCTCCAAGTACTACTTTACTGCCTGATGCTCCAAAGTTTACAGCCAGCATTTTAATATCAAGCCTTTAACTCAAAACATTACAAGTTCTACCACTTAATATAGCTCCCAAAACCACCAATGCCCTATACCTTAGCTTCATCTACCAGATTTCAGGAGACAGCAACCCTTGGCAAAGACATCATGAACCAGCCTGCCATCACAGAGACTTTATCCCCATGCATAACGTACTAGATCATAGCACAGCAGTGAAAAAGGGAAACCAGTCTTTGGTAATACCAAAGACTTGCCAGTTGGTTAGAACCAGCAGGAAAGAACAACAAACAGCACTTGGGAGTGGGCTCCTAACATCAGCTCACACAGCTAAGCCCAATGAGGAAAGTCACCTGTAGCACATATAGGAGTTAGATAGCATATGTTCCCTCTCACCCACAGAAGAGGAGGAACCTGTGAGTCACCAGTCTGTACACTGTAAGAACACTGAGCCATAAACCAATTTAAAAAAAAAAAAGTTGCAGTAGTAGAATAAGCCACTTCTCTAACAGAATTGACAGAATATATGTGGTAGGGAGAAAGTTTAAGAATCTTTATGTGAGAAAATGAAAGTCCCTTTCCAAGTCATAGGTTCTGAAGATCTGTAGAACAAGTGGGCTTTAATTGACATTTACACCTTTGTGAAGTGAATGTTTATTTTTCTTCTTAATTGGACAAATGTATCCCAAGGAAGTCAGTTGAGGAAGTCAGGCAAAAATGCCAGGAGGCCCGCATGGATGAACAAATCGCTCCAGAGCAAAGTCAAACAGAAAAAAGAAGCCTACAGAGGGTGGAAGCAAGGGCAGGTAGCCTGGGAAGAATACAGAGAAACTGTCTGAGCAGCCAGGGATCAGGTTAGGAAAGCCAAAGCCCTGACAGAAATTAGTCTGGCCAGGGATGTCAAGGACAACAAGAAGGTCTGCCAGTGATAAAAGGAGGACGAGGGAAAATGTGGGTCCCCTCCAGAATGAAACAGGCAACCTGGTTACCCAGGATATGGAGAAGGCTGAGGTACTCAATGATTTCTTTGCCTCAGTTTTCACTGGCAAGTGATCAAGCCACGCTGCCCAGGTTGCAGAAGGCAAAGGCAGTGAGTGGGAGAAGGCAGAACCGCCCACTGTAGGAGAAGATCAGGTTTGAGAATATCTAAGGAACCTGAAGGTGCACAAGTCCATGGGACCTGATGAGTTG